GTCCGCCTCTTCGTGACCCCCTGGACCAGAGCAGGCCAGGCCCTCCTGTCTTCCACTGCCTCCCCTCATGCTGGTAGCTTCGAGAACACTGTCCCACCATCTCGTCCTCTGTCGTCCCCTTCTCCTTGTGCCCTCCATCTTTCCCAACATCAGGGTCTTTTCCAGGGAGTCTTCTCTTCTCATGAGGTGGCCAAAGTCTTGGAGCCTCAGCTTCAGGATCTGTCCTTCCAGTGAGCACTCAGGGCTGATTTCCTTCAGAATGGATGCGTTTGATCTTCTTGCAGTCCATGGGACTCTCAAGAGTCTCCTCCAGCACCAGAATTCAAAAGCATCAATTCTTCGGCGATCAGCCTTCTTGATGGTCCAGCTCTCACTTCCATACATCACTACTGGGGAAACCACAGCTGTAACTATAGGGAAGGCAAGGGTTAAGAGCAGCTGAGCTGCATTCCTAGGGAGGACAGGAAAGGAAGGGGGCGGGTCTTCTGGAGGCGCCCCTCTTGTCTCCTCCGGTGAGTCTCCCCCTCTTTCCTGGGGTCCTGGGGGGCTGCAGGGCGGGGTCCTGCGAGGGGCTGCTCAGCTGGGGGCCTCTCCCCCTCGACCAGGCATGGGGTCCTGCCATTTGAGGAGGGGGTGCAAACAAGCCCCCTTCAGGTGGGGGGGGGGACGGGGGACGTAAAAGAAACGCAGCAAATAAGGATTGGGGGGGGCTCAGCCCCTCCTCGGGGTGCTGCTGCTGCTGCCTTGGGGACCCCTGGCAGCTCCGCCTGGAGGGTGGGCCAGCATCCCCTGGGATCCCTCCCTGAGACGGGGGTGGGGGTGGGGGGTGCAGGAGGACCCCCAAGCATCTCCTCCCTGCCAGGCCTGGGGGGCCCCACACTCCTCTCCCCCCCCCAGCAGAAGAGACGCCTGGGAGGCCGGAGGGCACCTTGCCCTGCTGGGAGTCCTGAAGAGCCCAGACTCAGGGGGACAAACTGGGCGGCCGGGGCAAAGGTCGAAAATGCTTTTAAATGGTTTTTAATCCATTGCATTATAGATTTAAAGATTCGGGCCTCATCGTGGGACTGAAACTGCCTTGTTTGCGCTAGTTGATGATCTCTGGTGGGCAAGGGACAAACGGGAGATGTTGCCTAGCTCTGCTGCATCTCTTAGAGGCTTTTGGATACCATTATTATTATTATTATTATTATTATTATTATTATTATTATTAACCTTCCCTTTCTCAACATTCCCAGGGCAGATGAATTCTACTCCTATTGATCCAGAGCAGAGTAAAACTTAAACATGTTGCAGGATAGACCAGAGGCCACTGTATTTCATCCAGCAGAGCTTTACTGCTGCTGAAGGGGAATGAGCCCAAGGGTCACAATTCAGGCTTGGCACACATTCAGGATTGGGACTACAGTGGTACCTCGCAAGACGAATGCCTCGCAAGACAAAAAACTCGCAAGACGAAAGGGTTTTTTGTTTTTTGAGTTGCTTCGCAAGACTATTTTCCCTATGGGCTTGCTTCGCAAGACGGAAACGTCTTGCAAGTTTGTTTCCTTTTTCTTAACACCGTTAATACAGTTGCGACTTGACTTCGAGGAGCAACTCATAGCACGCGGTGTGGTAGCCTTTTTTGAGGTTTTTAAAGACTTTGGTGATTTTTTGAAGCTTTTCCAAAACTTTCCCGACACCGTGCTTCGCAAGACGAAAAAAATCGCAGGACGACAAAACTCGCGACACGAATTAATTTCGTCTTGCGAGGCACCACTGTATCCATAAGAAATCCACTTGCAGCAGACTTAACTTAAACTTACAGTAGCTTATAATAATATGTCTAAAGCTTAACGCTATATGCAGAATACCACACCAGAAGGGAAAGAGACAGAAAGAGTAAGGCTCCTCCTGGCCTTACTCTTATAGTCAGCAGGACCTTGACAGAAGAGAGAACAGGGCCCGTCTAATCCAGCACTACTCAGCTTCTCGGAAGGAACAACCCAAACATCAGGAACCTTCTGCTTGTTTCTTGCACACAGAGAAGCTTCCAGAACCCTCTTGAACTAATTAGAATAGGAAAGATCGCTACGCATCAGATCAGTACTTTCTGTACTAATAAATGCAAACTGACAATGACAACATTAAAACTATATTTAAAACAGAAAGAAGGTGAATTCTACTTGACTTGCTTTTCAGCACTGTTCTTTGGCCCCACCTAATAATCATAGTCATAATAAATGTATATGCCGCCCCTCGGACTGGGTTTGCCAGGCATTCTGGGCAGCTTCCAACAAATTAAAACACAGTAAGACAACAAACCTTAAAAACTTCCCTATACAGTGGTACCTCAGGTTACGTACTTAATTCGTTCCAGAGGTCCGTACTTAACCTGAAACTGTTCTTAACCTGAAGCACCACTTTAGCTAATGGGGCCGCCTGCTGCCGCTGCGCCGCCGGAGCCCGATTTCTGTTCTCATCCTGAAGCAAAGTTCTTAACCTGAAGCACTATTTCTGGGTTAGCGGAGTCTGTAACCTGAAGCGTATATAACCCGAGGTACCACTGTACCTGGCTGCCTTTAGACGTACTTTGGCCTCACCCAGTTAGCCCTTGGGGGGTTGGCCAGGTAATCATCCGGCCCTCAGAACAACAAGAAAGGACCCCACCCAAGTAGTGTGCCTTGAGGACACAGTGGATTCCAAATGCTAGAAAATAAGACAGAAGCAGGAAGGAAATGGGCCCTGAAGTGGGGGTGGGAGAGGAAGAGAGAGAGCAACTCTTGAGGGTCCCCAGCTTAAGACCCCAACTATGGCCTAGTGTCTGGATTATATCCAATACAAATGACTCACTTGTCCATCAGCATTCTGTCTTCACTTCTTCTCCTGACCTTGTATCAATCTTATAACAGAACAGTGTATTTGCTCTGTAGGATTTGTGAGCAAATCTAAATCAGATAGGCAGAACTTGACAGAAGACTACAGAATTCCTTCCAATCTCTTGGAGGCTTCCTGAGAGCCCAGATGGATGAGCAAGACAGTTCCTGGCTGCCCTTCTGCCAGAGATGGAGAGCTGGGTGAGGGAATGTGGGGCAGAGACCGGTTCCCAGGCTGTAGCCCTGGCTGAAGGTTTCCTCCTGAGTCAGGCGGAGGAGAGAAAGCAGGCAGAGCAGCAGGTGAGAGAGACTTTCCCCTGGATACTCCCAAGGGGCTCAGAACATGAGAGATAATCTCCCAAACTGCTCTTCTAATGGCTCACTGTCTTTTTGGAAGCAAAGGATGAGATCTGCTCGCCTAAAGTCTTTTCTTCGGTCATTCCTTTTCTAATCCTTCTCCCTATTCTCTGTTTTGATCCTTGTTGCTCTTTCCGGGAAAGGATCTGTTTGCAGAAATGGACCCAGATTCCTCTGAGACACAGAGGTCTCCGTTGGACACCAGAGGGAGACCACTGGGTAAAGAGGAAGGAGTTTTTCTTCTCATTCTGTGGATCTTGAAACTATCTGTGGGTTCTGTTCATCTTTGGGGGGGGGGAAGCACTTGGGGCCGAGAGCGCCAAGGAGGGGAGTGTATTTTGACCCAAAGTAAGTTTGAAATGGGTACAAATGTCTAAATGCACTTTGCAAGAAAGACTTTTTCTAAGGTCCATCTGTAGCCTGAAATGTGCTGCTGAAGCTCTGAGAGACGCAGGAGCTGATGGCTTCCCTTTGACTTTTGTCTCTCGCAGGTGACCGAAGGATGCCCCCCAGACCTCCTCATCCATCTTTTCATGAGAACGGAGGAGAAGCAGCAGCAGCTGTGGAAACAGATCTGGTATGGGGAAAGAGCTTTGTGGGGAAAGAGTCAGAGGAGTGGGGCAGCCAGGGAGCCTCTGGGCCGGAAAGAATTTCTCCTCCTCTTGGCTTCTGTCAAAGCCTCGGTCCTGATCAAAGATGGAAAATGCCATTCGAAAAGGTTTATGTGCTGACAGGAATGAAGAGCCATCTCTCCTTAACTGGGCTTTGAAATGTCACTATTTTTTATGATTTATCAGTAGCTGCAGTTATATTTCTATATTGATCTAATCAGGCTTCTAAGCAGTTGAGAAGCTTCCAAGAAGTTGAGAAGCCATAGCAAACAGTGGCCGGGATTCACCTCAGCAGCCCCATCAGCTGAAGAAGGGGAATCCCCCTCCTCCCCCTCTCTGTGCCCCCATGAGCCCCTTGAAGTTGGCTGTAGGGCAGAGGGAGGGTCCCATCGCCCCCCAAGCATCGCACAGCGGGAGTAGAGAAGGGAGCATTCTGTCTGGCAGACAGGAATACTTCCACAGACAGAATATTTGAAGAACAGCATGCGGAGTTCCACCCATGCACACAAAGATTTATACCCATCATTAGAATGCACAGTAAAATAAATCAGTTGAAATGCTAAAATAAGCATCCAGACCTAAAGCATGCAGCAAAATAATCCCATTAAAAAAACAAGAATGAATGGGCAGAAAACAACTGATAATAATAATATTTGTTGGATTTCCCCAACCACTCTGGGCGGCTTCCAACAAAGATGAAAGATACACTAAATGTCACATATTAAAAACTTCCCTGAACAGGGCTGCCTTCAGATGTCTTCTGAATGTCAGGTAGTTGTTTATCGCTTTGACATCTGATGGGAGGGTGTTCCACAGGGCGGGCGCCACTACCGAGAAGGCCCTCTGCCTGGTTCCCTGTAACTTGGCCTCTCACAGTGAGGGAACCGTCAGAAGGCCCTCGGAGCTAGACCTCAGTGTCCGGGCAGAACGATGGGGGTGGAGACGCTCCTTCAGGTATACTGGACCGAGGCCGTTGAGGGCTTTAAAGGTCAACACCAACACTTTGAATTGTGCTCGGAAACGTACTGGGAGCCAATGTAAGTCTTTCAAGACCGGTGTTATGTGGTCTCGGCAGCCATATAATGTATAGCAATGTATAGTGGATAATCTTTATGCTGTCTCAGAAGAGGACCTTTTTCCTTTTCCTTCAGGGTCCTCTGTGCTTTGAAGATGTCGCTGTGTATTTCACAGAGGAGGAGTGGGCGTTGCTGGATCCTGACCAGAGAGCTCTGCATAAGGAAGTCATGGAGGAGAATCGTAGGATTGTGGACTCTCTCAGTAAGGATTCCTGCTGGACTATAATATATATTTTGAAATACACCCACCCACCCAAACCCACAGACCCCTACCTCCACCTGTGAGAATCCTGCAATATTTTGATGGCACTTGACAGCATCTGGGATTCTCATTCCCCGTAGCTCACCTTGAATCTACTGTTCTGTCTGCGAATATTCTTGCCCCACATATGCCTTTTTAAACCATGACCAGGCTGGTCTGAGCTGCCCAGACCTTCTGGAATGTAACTCTCTGTGTGGTAGCAGAAGATGTAGCAGCTTCTGTCACTTTCTGGTTGACCAAAGAGACAACTGGCCTTGCAGATGGAGGAGATTCCATGATTAGGTCAAACAAGATCCATCATGGAAGATGCCAGGCTGTTTGAATCTCAGGTTCCCATCAATCAGTGTGTCAATGAGAGTCAACAAAGGCAGTGAACCTCGTAGTAAGGCCTTAGATCTAACTCCCTTGAACTCTTCATTGATCACAAACATTCATTAGCAGTGCTCCATAATTTGAATAATTTGGGGCTCCATTTCTTTCTGAGGTTCTAATCTGTTTCTCTCTTTGATGCAGGTGCTGATGGATTGAAAATTATGAACAAGGGAGACATTCACAGAGTGGGGAAGGTGTATAAATATTTGGAATGTGGAGAGAGTTATAGTCAGAGCTCTTATTCCACTTCCCCTAAAATAAATTCCATTGGGAAGAATCGCTATCAGTGCTTGGAAGGTGGTAAGACGTTTCGTCAGAAGAAATGTCTCACTTTCCATCCAAGAACTCACAGCAGGGAGAAACCATATCAGTGCATGGAATGCGGAAAGAGCTTCAGTCAGATGTCCAATCTCACGACCCATCAAACCATTCATACAGGAGAGAAACCATATCAGTGTTTGGAATGTGGAAAGAACTTCAGGAAGAAAGCTAAGCTTACAGCTCATCAAAGAATTCATACAGGAGAGAAGCCATATCAGTGCATGGAATGCGGAAGGAGCTTCAGGCAAAGAGCCCATCTCACTTCCCACCAAATACTTCACAGTGGGAAGAAACCCCATCACTGTTTGGAATGTGGAAAGAGCTTCAGTTACAGGCATGTGCTCAAGGCCCATCAAAGAATTCATACAGGGGAGAAACCATATCAGTGCTTGGAATGTGGAAAGAGCTTCAGTCAAAGAGTTGCACTCACAGCCCATCAAATAATTCATACAGGGGAGAAACCATATCAGTGCTTGCAATGTGGAAGGAGCTTCCGTCGGAGGTCCCATCTCACTTCCCATCAAATAACTCACAGTGCGGGGAAAACCCATAAGTGCTTGGAATGTGGAAAGTGCTTTAATCAGAGATCCTATCTCAATTCCCATCAGAAAATTCATAGAGGGGAGACACCATATCAGTGCTTGGAATGTGGAAAGAGCTTTAGTCACAAGGCTGTGTTTAAGGCCCATCAAAGAATTCACACAGGGGAAAAACCATATCAGTGCTCGGAATGTGGAAAGAGCTTCAGTCAAAAGGCTGTGCTCACAGCCCATCAAAGCATTCACACAGGGGAAAAACTGTATCAGTGCTCAGAATGTGGGAAGAGCTTCAGTCAGAAAGCTAAGCTCATGGCTCATCAAGGAATTCATACAGGAGAGAGACCTCATAAGTGCTTGGAATGTGGGAAGAGCTTCAGGCAGAGGGGGCATCTAAAGGGTCATCAAAGCATTCATACAAAGGAAAAACCATATCAGTGCTTGGAATGTGGAAAGAGCTTCAGGCGGAAGAATATTCTCACTTCCCATCAAACAATTCACACTGGGGTGAAACCATTTCAGTGCTTGGAATGCGGAAAGCACTTCAGTCATAGGTCCCATCTCACATCTCACCAAATAACTCACAGTGGGAAGAAACCCCATCACTGTTTAGAATGTGGAAAGAGCTTTGGTCATAGGGCTGTGCTCAAGGCCCATCAAAGAATTCACACAGGAGAGAAACCCTATAAGTGCTTGGAATGTGGAAAGAGCTTCAGTCGGAAGGACCATCTCACTTCCCATCAAACAACTCACACTGGAGTAAAACCATATCTCTGCATGAAATGTGGAAAGACTTTTAGTCGGAAGGATAGTCTCACTTCACATGAAAGAATTCACAAAAAAGAAGAACCATATAAAAGCTTCAGATGTGGAACGGACTTCATTAAGGGATCCCAGTTCACTTCCCATCAAATAACACACAGTGGTGAGAACCCGTACCAGTGTTTGGAATGTGGAAAGAGCTTCAAGTGGAAGAGAAGTATCATTTGCCATCAAAGCATTCATACAGGGGAGAAACCATATCAGTGCTGGGAATGTGGGAAGAGCTTTTCCTGGAAGACAAATCTCATTTCCCATCAGAGAATTCATACAGGGGGGGCACCGTATCAGTGTTTGGAATGTGGAAAAACATTCAATCAGAAGTATACCCTTACTTCACATGAAAGAATTCACAGAGGGGAGGGAGGATATAAGTGCTTTGAATGTGGAAGGAGTTTCAGTAGGGGCTCCCAGCTCTCTTCCCATCAAAGAATTCATACAGGGGAGAGACCATATCAGTGCTTGGAATGTGGAAAGAGCTTCAATAGGGAAAAAAGTCTAACGTCCCATCAAATGACTCATTCAATTGATGAACCGTATCAGTGCTTGGTATGTAGAAAGAGCTTCAAATCAAAGAGAAGTCTCACTTTACATCAGAGAATTCATACAGTGGCGAAACCATATCAGTGCCTGGAATGTGGGAAGAGCTTCAGTCGGAATGAACATCTCACTTCCCATAAAACAATTCACAGTGAGGAGAGACCATATCAGTGCTTGGAATGTGGAAAGAGCTTCAAATCAAAGAGAAGTCTCACTTTACATCAAATAATTCATACAGGGGAGAAGCCACATCAGTGCTTGGAATGTGGAAAGAGCTTCAGTCGTAAGGAACATCTCACTTCCCATAAAACAATTCACCGTGAGGAGAGACCATATCAGTGCTTGGAATGCGGAAAGAGCTTCAAATGGAAGAAAAGTTTCACATTCCATCAAAGAATTCATACAGGGGAGAAACCATATCAGTGCTTAGAATGTGGAAAGAGCTTCATGCAGAGGTCTAAGATGACAATCCATCAAAGAACTCACCGCAAGGAGACTCATAGCATTTGAAGATGGCTGACACATCTCCTCTTAATCTCCTCTTTTTGAGACAAAACATATCCAGCTCAGAACTCTGGGTATAGGGCAGTGTATCATTTGGGTCTTCCTCCTTTGCACGTGTTCCAGCTTGACAATATCCTCCTTTTATTGTGGCGTCCAGAACTGGACCCTGTACTCCAGGTGTGTTCTGACCAAGGCAGAAGGGAGCAGTAACATTACTTCCGATGCTCAGGACGCCAGATGTCTGTTGATGCAGCCTAAAATAACATTAGCTTATTTTACTGCTGCCTCACATTGTTAACTCGTGTTAATCTTGTGGTGTACTAAGACCCCTAGGTCCTTTTCACATGTACGGCTGGTTGCAAGTCTAGAGTTCATCACAGGAATCAAGGAATTGCAGAGTGCTGAGGGACCACAAGAGTCATTGTTCAACCCTCTCGCAATGCAGGAATCTCAAGTAAAGCATCCATGACAAATGGCCATCCAAGCTCTGCTGAAAACTTCCAACGAAGGAGAGTCCACCACAGTTTTATGGGTGAATCAGAGGACAAAAGGTATCAGAAAAGATTATGAACATCAGTTACAGCAGCAGGAAACCCGTTTTATTTTTATGTTTAAATCCATTCATCCAGGGGGATGTAACTCTGAATTAGACCTCAATTGTTTTATTTGATTACAGTGGTGCCCCGCAAGACGAATGCCTCGCAAGACGAAAAACTCGCTAGACGAAAGGGTTTTCCATTTTTTGAGTCGTTCCGCAAGACGAATTTCCCTATGGGCTTGCTTCGCAAGACGAAACGTCTTGCGAGTTCTTGCAAGTTTGTTTCCTTTTTCTTAAAGCCGCTAAGCCGTTAATAGCCGCTAAGCCGCTAATAGCCGTGCTTCGCAAGACGAAAAAACCGCAAGACGAAGAGACTCGCGGAACGGATTAATTTCGTCTTGCGAGGCACCACTGTATCTGTATCCTTGCTGTTTCTTTGTACTGTGGCTTTAAGCTCGGTCTCCTTGTTATCAGTATCACCTGGGGCTGGCTATATATATTTTTCAAAAAATGTTGTTAGTAAGAGTGACTACATAATCGCATGAGCACTGTTCCAGAGTATTTTTCATTCTCATGTATATTATATCCATTCAAAAAAAAAGATTGGGTATATAACCTTTTTATGTTTATAATTTCAACGCTATTTGAAGTTATTGTTATATACGTGCAGGTCATCGTTTGAATATTTTATTTTCAGTTAATGAAGAAATTACACATCTTTTTACTTATGAGTGTTTGTTGAACTAATTGGCTGGTGAAGAACTGAAAGAAACAGTAGTTGCTATCCGGAAACACTGTTCAGCAGTTCAGAGTTGGACATCAGAATTGGACATTTGCTGATTATACAAAGCTTTATAAGCTTGATCTCTGCTGGGTAAAGTCTGGCACCGTGACTTATTCAAGGACTTTCAGAGACTTCCGTTTGATAGTTTTGATGTTTTGCATTATTTCATAAAGTTTTCTATACTGTAATTGTTTCTGGCCATCGTGGTGCTTTCGATATTGCTGTATCTTATCCAATCAGCAGGACAATGTTTTACCTTTGGGAGTTAATGTGCCATTAGTTTATGAATAAGGTCTTCTATAAGGAAAAATGTTTAGAATTTATCAGGCTCCGTTAAGCTTGTAGATAGTCCCTACAAGTGTATTGTTGTTTAGTCGTTGAGTCGTGTCTGCCTCTTCGTGACCCCCTGGACCAGAGCACGCCAGGCACTCCTGTCTTCCACTGCCTCCCGCAGTTTGGTCAACCTCATGCTGGTAGCTTCGAGAACACTGTCCCACCATCTTGTCCTCTGTCGTCCCCTTCTCCTTGCGCCCTCCATCTTTCCCAGCATCAGCGTCTTTTCCAGGGAGTCTTCTCTTCTCATGAGGTGGCCAAAGTCTTGGAGCCTCAGCTTCAGGATCTGTCCTTCCAGTGAGCACTCAGGGCTGATTTCCTTCAGAATGGAGAGGTTTGATCTTCTTGCAGTCCATGGGACTCTCCAGAGTCTCCTCCAGCACCAGAATTCAAAAGCATCCATTCTTTGGCGATCAGCCTTCTTGATGGTCCAGCTCTCACTTCCATACATCACGACTGGGAAAACCATGGCTTTAAGTATACGGACCTTTGTTGGCAAGGTGATGTCTCTGCTTTTTAAGATACTGTCTAGGTTTGTCATTGCTTTTCTCCCAAGAAGCAGGCGTCTTTTAATTTTAATACAAGTGTATTAGAGTCCAATAAATTCTAAAAAATGTTTTTGCTGCTAGAGATGTAATTAGGAAAATGCTTTTTGGAAACGTATGTTCATAGGATGTCCAAAGCTTGCATTTTGGAGGAAAGTATTAAGGTGCATAAATACTGCAGACCAACTTTATATGTGTTGACAACTGGTTAATGTAAATGAACTCTTTGCATCCTTCCAGCTGATAAAAAAACTTATTTATTTGCTGGAAAGATAATGCCAAGGTCCCCTTTGAACAATGGATACTATTCTTGCAACATAGGAATGTAGATTGTGGAGAAAGACAATGATATTTAGAATGCATTTATAAAAACAATGAATTGTTAATAATATTTTACTTCTTAGAATAATCGTCCCACTTATATACCTAGATACTGTATTGTAACACAGTTTAAAGCAGTTTCCTTTGCTTTGGTTTGACCTTTCTCCATCTTTTTCACTTCATTTCTCTTCTGAAAACTGACAACAAAATAGACACCCGTCACGCTTCTGCCTGGTTGAACAGACCCCCATCGCTCCTTGAAGTGAAGCCATGTGACCTTGACTTTCAACTTCCTTTTGACCCAGGGTCTCATTGGGGATCCTCTGTTTTCCTCAGAGTCAGACCAGTTGGCCTGTGTTTCACAATTGTGCATTTTACAAAGAATACAACATTAAGGAGTTAAGTGGAACCGCAGTGATCCAGGTGAATGTAATTAAGGTCCAGCTCCTGATTCACTGTTTTTTGTGACTCATTCACTGTCCCTTAAAAGAAGGGAAAACATGTTTGCATGCGAGTAGTAGCAGTGGTAGAGAGGGGAGGGCTAGAGGAGGGTCTGAATGCAGAATATGAACTGGGGGGGGGGAGTCCATAGGGTGAGCTCGTATTTTGCCCAGGACATCCAGCAGGAGTCTTACTGCTGTGGGAGCCAGCTGAGAGAATGGCCAGAGCGTGGAAGAGGCCGGAGAACCTTCCTCCAGGAGAATAACGGGACAGGCAGGCAGCCTTGGACTCCTGGAACAACCGCACTGTTGTCCTTGCACTTAAAAGGTTGTCCTTGCTCTCTCTGGGGAGAGAGAGACTTTGTGTTGAGACCTTGTATTGGACTGCTTGCCTCTTTGCTCATTAAATGAATTAAAGACTCGTCTTCCTCCGTCTCTGTGAGATGTGGTTATTTCATCCTGGGGGTCCGAGGGGGAACCTGCTGCACTGTAGAAACACAACCAACCAGATCCTTGGGTTCCCCTTGGCTAAGCTATGCCCCCCAGAGGAGGCAGGGCTTCACCCCATGCAGGGCTTCCCCCAGCCAGCCATCCCTTTGGTGAGCCAGTCTACCTGCGGGAGATTCTGCAGCCCCCTCCAGGCATGTGGCCCTTTCCGCCCGAGCCCGTTCAAGGTGTGAAGGGCACACGGAAACGGCATATCCCTTCCCATCACAGCAGTACCTCTTTATCTACTTGCACTTGTGTGCTTTTTGAACACTTGGGTTGGCAGAAGCTGGGACAGAGCAATGGGAACTCACGCCATTGTGTGGATTTGAAGGGCCGGCCTTCCGCTGGACAAGCTGAAGAGGCTGAGGGGGGATGCAGGCGAGAGTTTGGATTTGGATTTGATATCCCGCTTTATCACTACCCTAGCGAGTCTCAAAGCAGCTAACATTCTCCTTTCCCTTCCTGCCCCACAACAATCACTCTGTGAGGTGAGTGGGGCTGAGAGACTTCAGAGAAGTGTGACTAGCCCAAGGTCACCCAGCAGCTGCAGGTGGAGGAGCAGGGAAGCGAACCCGGTTCACCAGATTGCAAGACTACCGCTCTTAACCACTACACCACACTGGCTACAAGAGAAAGAGAGAGGCACCCGTTGGCTGACTCTATCTGCCATCTGCCGGTCTAGCTGCTCCATGCTTTGGAAGCCCACCCACCCGGTCTACCCCCAGAGGCCAGTACTCTAGGAGCAAGGTTGCCCCCGAGAGAGAAGGCAGGAGGGAGTCGCCATGGGGGGGGTCAGGTGCATCCACCTGCCTAGGTTAAGTAAAACAAGAGAAGTACTCACCTAACTGACCAACCCAACCAAGGCCTGCCCCCCCCAAAAAAACCCTTGGCGATGCCCCTGGAGCCACCTGTGCAAGAACCGTGCCTTGGGGCTGGTGGAGAGAGGGAGGGTGTCCAGCCATGCAGGGCTTCCCCCAAGCAGCCAACTGGTCTACCTGCGGGAGAGCCTGCAGCCTCCCTCGGGGCATCCAGCCCTTTCCGCCCGATCCCGCTCCAGGTCTGGGGTGCGCGGCGGCTCCTTGAAGCCTCACCATCCCTCACTAGGGAGGAACTGAGGAGCCGTCCACTTTTAACAGCGGTCTCTGAAGTTCCAGAACTGTTCTGTACTGAAGTTCTCACCCTGGGCCAGCAGGGGGACACTGTAGATAGTTTTCACTCAGGTCCACATATGCAAATAAGGAATTGAAAGTGACATTCGGTGATTGGATAGTTACGGAAAGTTGTTACTGTTGCTTTGCAGTGGAGCTCTATATAAACAGGCGGGCTGAACCTGTCAGGGAACTGACATCTGAGACCAGCGGAGAGAGAAGTCGCCCCGATGATGCAGGGGAGGGAACTAGCAAGGAGAGAGAGAGCGCTTCCACGGGGGAAGGGAATCAAGGTGACACCAAGAAGAAAGGGGAGGCTGAGAGCACTTTGGAGGGAAGGCTCAGGGACTCTTCCAGTGAGATCAGCGGGGAGAGAGCAGGACCTCCGCTTGGCACGCCTACTCTGCGCAGAAGGCTTCCGCGCAGAGAAGCTAGGAGGAGACTTGCGGTCAAGGAATTTTTATGTTGGAAGAAGTTTAGGAAACGCCCACTGACGGATTCTGCCAGCGACTGAAGCAGCCGCGCATGAGGGCTGTCCAGCCAGGGAAAGGTTTAACCACCCAAGCAGCTTGGAGCAGTTGGTGGCTTACACGCAAGCAACCCCAATTCCCATTACAGAACCCTTCAGTTCTGTTCTGGCCTGTGAATAAACAAGAGCTGTTTGAAGAATCGCTGTGTCGTCTGATCTGTTCACCCACATTACCCACCCTGGAAGAATG